TGCCATGCCCTGCGGCCCAGCAGGACCGCCGTGCCACCCCCCGGCCACTCCCGCCCGAAGCCTGTTCGCCACGCGGTCCGCGACGCCGGTGTGGCACTCCCCCGCCCCGCCACACCTCGCTACCAGGGCGCTACTCTATTTTAATCTCAGAAACGTAATAAACCGACGAGAGTCTTTTCGTTTGGTTTGAGGCGGGGCGGGGCGGGGCGGGCGTGGCCGGTGGTCGCCTGATGTGACACTTTGTCACTTTTGTGATTTGTCGCTGCTTTGCGCGCGCGAACATGGCGCTCATACTTTGCAGCCGCAGCGGTGCACAGCCGAGAGTAGTTCTTGCGAATCCCTTTGCGAGCTTTTTACACAGAGGCCGTTTGTTGTGCCCTGTATGTGTATGTGCGTGTGCGCGAGTGTGTGTGTGTCTGTGTGTGTGTGTGTGTGCGTGCGTGCAGAGTGACCGGTGGCCGGGACGAGGTACGCGGGTGTGGAGATAGCATTGCTGGCGCACCACTGAGTAAAGGGCGACGGGAGTCGGTCTCTCAGTGGCGGCCCAGATGTGAGGACACAAGGCGTCCCTTTCAAACTCGACAACACCCCCACCCCCTCCACATCGTGTACCCCGCATGTCAACCCGACCAAAACTCACTACCAGAGAAATGAGTGTGTGGGGGGGGGGAGCGACGACTCGGGGTGTGTATATGTGTGCGCTCCGCACTTGCAAGCAAGTATGACAAATTTACGAACCAGAAAGACTTAGCATCACTAATGAGACAGCCGGGACGAACCGGCCGCCGGCTCACCACTTACCTTCGCACTTCAGCCCTTGTCGGAACAGTCCATAGAGAAGAGATCCACAATGATCACAGAAGGTTGGCGACATAAAGTTGTGGCCTTTAAATCTGTGGGGCACGTCGATTTTGAAGCGCTCCCGCAAATACTGGGGGAAAGGAGAATGAGAACATCTTATTGTCAAGATTGTTTTTAACATTAAATACGGTTGAAACTTCAGCTAAGTAAGAGGGAAGGACACACAGGCACATTGCTCTGAAACTGGCAGATATATTTGAGCTGCGTGCAATGGTGTCTACGGGATACGATGTTGCGATAAAATATTCAGTAGTAACTTCAAGAATAACTCGTTCGTTCGATTCGTCGTCATACAACGCAACCTTTATAAAACAACGCTACTTAAAGCTTTCATGTCTGAAAATGTAGCATGAATTGAGACGATCAACTACATATAAAGCGTCGAGGAAACTTTAATGCATTTTAATATGAGTATAATTGCGAACAATTTCATGATAGATGTAACCACATTTTACTTTGTTTGGCGTGTGGCTGGTAGCCGAAAGTGGGGCTGTAAGGCTCGTCTCTGCAATCTACAGGGACGAACAGAGGGAGAGGGAGAGAAGGGGGAAACAGGAGGGGTTGACAAGGGGGAGAAGTGGAGGGGAGGGTAAAGGGGGAGGAGGAGAGGGGGCGGAGGGGAGCTCTTTGCCGGGCTACAAGCCGGCCAGACGCAAGCTGCGGCGCACCGCGCAGCAGTTCCGGCATGCCGCGGGGGCCACGCATGCCGCTAGAGTGCCGCCGGGGGGTGAGGGGAGGAAAGGGGGTGAGGCAAAAAGGAAAAGAGACTGAGCGCGTCGATCCCTCCTACTTGCCCCCCCCCCCCCCCCTCTCCCCCTTCCCGGTGACAACCGTATCGACAGAGAACCTACAGATGTGCCATCATCATGTCTGGAGAGGAAGAGAAGCGACCGCCGGCGCGGATCGCGCCCCTCTGGCCAGTTCTGCCCGGTCGTCTAGGCCAAGTGGGAAACCATACGGAGAGGCCAATCACGACCTGTGGCAATCCGGGGATAATCGAGAGGATATCCGAGCAATCCGGGGTAATCCGTTGTTCACGAGATCCCACTGTCGCTCCCCCCTCGCTCTGGGGCGCGGCGGCTAGTGCTCCCCAGACTGCGCCTGGGGCTCGGGGCTCGGCTCGGCTCGGCTTACACGACACGCCAAGGTTATTTGCAAAATGTGATGAGCGACAAGTGTTTCGCTGACCTCGGCCTGCTTTACGGCAAAGGCAGGTGCAAGTCCGGTACAGTACGGAGCAGGGCGTGTACCGTAGACGCGCGCGAGAGGGTGGGGGTGGCGTACTCACTATGGTGCTTTCGGAGTCCCGCCCGGAGCCAGGGCACTTCCCCAGGATCTTGTCGTGACACTTCTTGTGCACGGCTGTCTGACATGCTGGAACGGAGGAAACAAAAGGATCTGAGTGCAATTGAAGCGTTTCGAGGGCATCCTTCAAGTGTTCTATCACCCCCCTTTGAGACGCATTTCCGCGCATTTCAGTCGTGAACGAGTTCAGTCCCCCTATGACACATGGGCTTGTCAGTAGTGTGCAGAGGGGAGGGGGGGGGGAGGCACGGGCGGCAGGCGGGCTGCCTGCCCGCTGGCACATGGTCCTCGCCACCCCCTTCACCCTACACCCTGTCCACCGTGCGCAATAAAAAAAGGTTTAGCGCGATAAAACGATTAATCCTCAAATATTGCTAATTACTTTGTGATACGAAAACAAGAGTGAACAGCTGTTCACCGCTGCGAGCAGCTGCCTCTATACTTACATTGACACTGGTATCCTTGTTTCCCAAAGCCCCTGCAAAAAACAAAAAAAAAAACAACGTAATTTTAAGTAGAACATCGCTCTTCCTTGCGTCATTGAGGGCATTAAACACAGCCATGGCGACCAAGCTCCCTCACCATAGGAAGTCCTTGCAAAATGCACAGAATGTAGGTTGACGGAAGAATTTGGCGACGAAGCGATGTCCCTTGACTTCGTGCACCTTCTGGTGACGTATGGCACCCCTGCGGCCCCGGATGGCGCGACCCTGCACATCAGCGGCGACCCCTGGAGCACGAGAAAAAGGTCACATTGAGTGCATTGAGTTAAGTTGGCGAGAGGCTGCATCGGGCACTGCATCGGGGAAGATGAGAAGGAAAATACCCCCATCCCACCCCACCCTACCCCACCTGTCGAGTCCCCAGCGCTCTCTACACCTGGCGAGTGTTGAACCCGCCAGGGGGCCCTGACGTTGTATCGAGGGCATGAAGGCAGCCAAAAACCTGGGGGATACGCCTCTGCGTGAGGGGCAATTTTGATGCACGTTTCTTTTTTAAAATGTGGGGCATCGCATATAAATCACTGGCCACATGTCAAGTTCCGCAGAGGTAAGGTCGGGTAAGGTTAGTGCTCTTCAGGTTCACTTTAATGGTCCAAAGTGCCATGAGAAGAGAGGGGAAGGGGGTTGGGGTTGGGATGGACGACGAGATGGCGTGCGGCATACGTTGGAAAACTGGCAAGCAAAGGTGTTAAGTCCCCTATTCAAAAGGAGCTCGAGGCCTGGCTATCCTCAAGTCCATCGCCTCAGTCTCTCAGTAAGTGTGTTACCAGAGGGGTGCTGATACAAATTTGCGGATTTTGTCGGAGAAAAGGGGACGAAGTTTTAATTATGCCCAAACATGGTAATATGGTTAAAGCTGTACCTGAGCTGAAAACCTTTGTCAAATGTATAGAAATGTTTTATAACCGTAAGCAACAAAGGAGTTTTAGACGCCCACGCAGGGCAAAACATTCCCTGGCAACTGGCAGCCCCAGCCCCCAAGGAGCACCCAGGCGGTTTTACAGTGCACATTAACACGTTCCCTTGACTCATTTTTTATGCCTATGATTGAACATGGGAGCGTGACCACATAGTGGTCATGCCGCAAGGATTGCAATCATACAAATTATGATCCATCCAATTGCCACATTCTATGTTTTGAAGTCCGCGTCGACGACATCTTGCGGCAAAGTCGCGAGTCAGCTCGCGAATATCCACGTCGTCGGGGCATATCGTCAACGATACCCCGAACCTGCAAGACGCCCAAAGTTTAACGGGACTACCCCACGCTTTTGGCCCGCGACCAAAAAGTCAGCGAGAGTAGCGCTGCGTGGCGGCCGCGACGAGAAGCACGAAGGTAAACATAGGCGGCACCCATCGCCAAGAAATATACGGTTCTCGTAACGCGGCTTCGGAAAAAAATGACATAAATCACGGATTAATTATGGTCTTTATGGACACTTTCAATCGAAATTTAGAATTTTGAACCAATGCCTCTCTTACTGGGCGATTCAACTATAGAAATTTACTCTCAATTATAACATTTTCTAAAAATAAGTGAAAAGGCTGCTTTCCACATCCAGCCTAACAGATTCACCCCAGCAAATTTAACCAAACACTGCTGTCAATTTCCTGCGTATGCTTTGAAAACTGCAAAAATAATTTACTTTGCAATTATTGCAAAGCATTGATACGCAATTACAAAGAAATGCTTCGTGTAGTTTATAAAGCCTAGACCTTTTGCAATTTACCGAACGCGTGAAAAGAATTTCTTTGCAAGAAGTTAACGAAGGGGGTAGTAGAGAAATTTAACCAGAATGTGTACGGTTGTTGATATTTTTCAGTGATCATACGGATATTTTTTTTAGCGCAGGGGCATTTCAGATAAAACAGGCTTTTGTAATAAAGGTCGAGGGCCAGTAAAACAGCAGAAGGAGGCAGATGTGTTGGTATGCCGAGGGGACGTCCGTCCGGTGCTAGCCGGTGTTGGTAAACACGTCTGCAGGCGAGCAGCAGATACATACTTGGCGCCATTTTCAAACAGTTTAGGACGCTCGCGGGGATATGTCGGCTCCGCATTGACGCAAGCGGGCACGAGGCGAGCCCGCGTCGTGGAGAGCATTCCTCCGCCCCGACATTCCAACCCTTGTGTGCTTCGTCGCACGAAAATAATGGGCGGCTGAGAACTCCCGTTTTCGCGAAGAAAAAAATGCTAGAGGCAGCTCTTTTCTCCCCAGCCCCAGCCCCGCCATGCCCGACCTCCCTCAAACCAGACCCCGTGGGCCAGCCGGTGGGCAGCCGGTGGGCAGCCCAGGCATAAGGAAGGCGCGTGGCATGCAACAGCTTCACTATTTTCGGCCCCCGGGGCGGTCGGGTCCGGTACGGACGGGGAGCGGCCCGTTGTAGTGCTCGGCCAGTAGATGTGGCAGTGTGTGACCTCCAACGCGTCAACTGCAACCGACTCTCACGGCTAGGCGATGGCTCTGGAGAGCGCCTGATGGGGATGGGTAGGCAACGCCATGCGCAGCTGTTCGCACGATGCCTACCGCCCGGGCGGCCGCTGGAGCGCCTGATTGGTAGGCAACGCCATGCGCGGCTGTTCACGCGTTGCCTACCTCCCGGGCGTTTTCCCCGCTCGGGCGGCGCCACCGTGGAGTGTTCCTGGATCAAACAGATCCAGTCCTAGGATAGGCAAGTTGGGGGAGCGGAGGGGGGGTGGAAGGGAGAGGATGAGGAAAGGGAAGAGGAAGAGTGGGGCGAACATAGTAAAACGGTAGGAAAGGGGGAGGAGAGCAGCA